CCCAAAGCCCTGTCTTCCTTATTCCTTCTCAGTTTTCTCCTCATTTCCTACCTTCACTTTTTGTGGCATATTAGTTGAAGGTGTGTTATATTTCATTTATGTTGTGGAATATCTGTTGAATGATGCAAAGATGTGTTGCATTTGTTTACCTCTTTGAAGCTGTGTTCCTTTGCCTGCCTAAAACACCTGATTGGTCTAATAAAGATTTGAATGGCCAATAGCGAGGCAGGAGAGGGGTAGGGGTTGCCAAGCAGAGAATAAATAAGAGGGGAAGACAGGAGAGAAGAGTGAGAAAAGGAGGAGAGAGGACACCGGGGGCCAGTCACTCAGCCACACAGCCAGCATGGAGTAAGAAGGAAAGAAAGAGATATAGACTAGAGAAAGGTGAAAAGCCCAGAGGCGAAAGGTAGCTAGGATAATTTAAATTAAGAAAAGCTAGCTAGAAATAGTCAAACTAAGGCAGGCCATTCATAAATAAGAATAAGTCTCTGTGTGTTTATTTGGGAGCTGGGTGGCAGACCTCCCAAAGAGTAAAAAGTTTCAAGCAAAAACAAAAACAAAACACTACACTCACTATTCCGCCAGGTGCCCCAGCACTCTAGTGTCTGTTCCACACTGTCATGCAATAACCTCAGACTCATAGGCAAGAACCAAAGCTCTCTTGAGAATCAGTTGCAGCATCTGCTCATCTTTAGACTAAAAGGCCCCTCATCACTGGTGTGATTTCAAAGGAATAGAGAAGTGTGCTTTGTAGACGATAAGAACGGAGGAAAGTTGACCTTTGGAGGTAAAGTCATGAAGATTAGATCAAGATACTTCTGCAGTTTTTGTTTGTTTTGTTTTGATACAGGGTCTCTCAATGTAGCCTTGACTGTCCTAGAACTCACTATGTGGACCAGGCTGTCCTGGAACTCAGAGATCCACCTGTCTCTGTGTCCTAAGTGCTGGGGTTAGAGGCATACACCACTACATCTGGTTACTTCTGCAATTTTTAAGATCTAGACTTGCTATGTATATGCTGTCCTTGCAACAGAAGGGCACAATTGCATCCAGCACATAGAAGTCAGTGATTAAGACCACTCCATGCTTTCATTTTTCTTCACTGTGCTGGGGATAGAAGGCAGGGCTCTGCATGTGCTGGGCAAGTGCTGCACCCCTGAGCACTGGCCTTTCGTTGCCCTATGCTGAGTGTTCTTCCTGAGGCACAGAATACACAGATGGTCTCTGCAGTAATGCTGCACAGGTGAGCCAGCAGTGGCTGGGACTTCAGAAGCAGCCAGTAGTGCTCGACAAAGGCTTTGGAAGTCTCAAAGCACTCAGACTTCGTCTGTTTTTTGTTGTTGTTGCTTTGATGCAATATTGGACCCCATTGTGCAGCATCCTTACCAGGTGTTTAAACCTCTATTGATAAACCCCTCTGGCAGAGAAGTCCATGTCAGACTAGTAGACCACTGCCTAGCCGTCTCCTCCACCACCTCCTCTTATGTCTCTTCTCCTTTTCCCTTTCCTCTACTTCCCCTTCTATTGTTCAAGAGGAATTGTCTCTCTGTACCTCAGCCTGCCCTCAAGTGATCTGCCTGCCTCCATCTCCTGAGTGCTGGGATTACAGGCATGCACCACCATATATGGGCTTATGAGCTTCTTTGGTGTTCAGTAAGATGCTGTGGAGCCTGTCTTGGATCCTTCCTCATTCCCACTTGTCCTTTCCTTCAGGAACCACCCATGCCTCATCCTGCTGAGGACCAACAGCTGGGAGTCTCTGCTGAATCCCTACACCAGCCTTCACTGGAGAGAATCACCTAAGCAAATGTCTTTTCTGGATGCAAAGACCTGTTGCTTGCTTCAACTCAAGACAGCATTCAAGACCATCCCCTGATACGGACACAGAATTGGCTGAATATTTGTTGGGACTGTATTGTAGTTGAAGTATTCCTCCTGCCCATGTGATTCCTTCATTCCCCTCCTTCATCTCCCTACATTTCCCAATAAACTTGGTATGTGGAAATTTCCATCTCAGAGGCATCTCCTGCCTTTGTTTGTTAACTGTAAATGTGCCATTGTAGAAACGCCATCAGTCCTGATTGTAACTTGGAAGATGAGTTGATTTGAGGAATCTATTCTACATGACAGCCTTTCCAACCTTTGAAGGAAGTTGCTGTGTGCTTGGGAAGAAGAGTCCCAACCTTTATGGCTTAGGATAAGAAAAGGAACCCCCTCCTACAAATGCAAAAGCAAGGACCCCAGGAGAGTGTGGTATGGAGAAATTCATGCCTACACTGTAGCTGCCAAGCACAGCCAAAGCTATTCCTGCCCACAAGCCCAACTGGGTGGAGTCTGCTCCCTGGGCAACTTGCCATCTGCACCCCTGAAAACACCCTACGTCCGTTTTCTCTTGATAAATAGAAATGGCACAAACTTTGTGCACTCAACAACTAGCTCAGAAGTTTAGTGAAATCAGGGGTTGTGCTTAGAGTCTCACAGAACAAAGTCAAGCTTTCCCTGGGGCTAAGGCTCTGAAGGATCAGGGTAGGTGAAGGGGCAATCCTCTTCTAGGCTTATGCAGGTCTTTGGCAGAGTGGAGCTGTTTTGTGGTTGTGAAATCTATGTCCCCGTTTCCGGGCTGGCAGTCAGCCAGCTTTCACTCTGTGCTGCTAAAGCTACTGCATGCCCTCCACGCAGCCTCTCTCCTCCCAGACCACCACTGCTCCATGAATTCTACTCCTGAGCATCTCTCCACCGGGGCCGGCTAACCAGCGGTGGTCCACTTAGCTCTGTCTCTCCACGGCTGAGTTACGAGCAGGCCTGTCTAGCTGTTTGACATGTTTCTGAGCATCAAACTCAGTCCTCATGCCGGCAAGGCAAGCATGAGGACATTTTACCTATGTAGATATCTCTCCCAGCCCCTCGGCTCTCTCTGACAAAGCTCTCTGCTTTTCAGGATTCATGCAACTAGGTCTTTCTCACAGAATAGTCTCCACATCTCATCACCTCCTGCACCATGAGAACTAGTATAGCACCAGCGTGCTAAGTCATCATGTTTTCGGGCTCTGTGGACCACGATGGGACACCTCTGGAGGGTGTTTAGCAATCCTGCTTCTCACAACTCTCAAAAGGCCTGGAAAGCTCTTTACGTTTGTCATTCCGGTCACCCTCTTCCTCTGGCCCAAGCAGTTCACCTTTCCTGTGCTTTCTCAGGCCTCTACCTTGGCCCCCTGTCATAGCCAGCAGATGATCTTGTCTCCCATTTCACACATGGAAGAAGCTAACTGTTCTAGCTCCCCTGGACTTACACCAAATACTGGCACACTAGGTGCTTAAAACATCAGAGATTTAGCTTCCCATTGTTCTGGAGACTAGAAGCCTCAGATGAAGCTGTTAGAAGGACCGTGACCCCTCGGGGGTTCTAGAGGATGCTTGGCTCCACGCCTAGCTTTTGGGGCTGCCAGCAATCTTTGGTACTGCTCGCTGCTTCAGTGAGGTCACTGACTGACCCAGAGGCTCATGTGCTTCAGGCTTGGCCCCCAGGATGGTGTTATTGAGGAACCTTGAACACGTGGGACTCTAAGTCATAAGGAGTGAGCCCTTTCAAGGGATTGTGTGTGGGACGTTGGTCTCTTCCTCTTCCTCCCCTACTTCCTGGCAATGAGGTGAGGAATTTGCTTTCCAAGTGTCTGCTGCTACTCTCATCAGGCATCCCGAAAGGCAGTGTGCATACCTGCTAATCAGATGGGGCCATATGTTTTCACGGGTATTTCATGGTAGCGATGGAAAGCTGATGAATACATGTACAGATTCATCACTCCATATCTGCTGTCCAACAGTCTCTCAGTCTCTCTCTCTCTCTCTCTCTCTCTCTCTCTCTCTCTCTCTCTCTCTCTCTCTCTCTCTCTGTGTGTGTGTGTGTGTGTGTGTGTGTTTCTTTTTCCTGTTCTTTTATTTTTTAAATTGATTTGTATTTTATGTATATGTGTGATTTGCCTGCATGTGTATCTATGCACAGGTATTTTGCCTGCATGCATGTCTGGGTACCTAGTGTGTTTCTAGTGCCAGCAGAGGTCAGATGAGGTTATTGGATCCCCTAGAACCGGAGTTACTAATGGTTGTTAATCAGCGTGTGGGTGCTGGAAACCAAATCCAGGTCCTCTACAAGAACAAGTACTCTGATGAGCCACCCCAGCCCCTTTTCTCTCTTCTTATAAAGGCCCCCTGACAGATTAAGGAACACTCTAATTCAGTAGAATCTCATCTTTGTTACATGTCAAAGACTATTTCCAAATTAGGACCCAGGGGTTAAGAACCCCACTATACTTAGGGTGATGTGAATTAGCTTATTGTTGATTGTATTATATGAAGACCCCAATTCCATGGCTAGCAAGAGACTTTGAGAACATTGAGCTAAGCTCCATTCTTCTTCCTCTTCTCTCTCTCTCTGGACCATGGGGTGCAAGGGTACATGTTGCTTTGGAACCAAGGATCAACTGAGGTCCAGTACATTTCAACGCTATCTCCCAAGGACTGAATAAAAGACTCACATCAGTCAGGCCTGCAACCACCCTTCACACTGTACTCACATATATGGTTTCTTTTTTGATTTTTGCATGTTTGTTTCGGGACAGGGCCTTGCTATGTAGTCTTAACTGGCCTGGCACTCCTTACATAGAGCAGGCTGGACTCCAACTGGTAACTATCCTCCTGCCTCAGCCTCCCTAGTGCAGGGAAGAAAGAAGAGCGCCAGCAGCCCAGCTTGCATATGGTTAAAGGGTTTAAAGTCCCACCCACAGGGGCATCTGGCTCCTCTTCCCAGCTCACTTTCTCAGTCTGCAGCACAGCCAAGGGGCCTGCTCATCTGTCCCGCAAGCGCCTCCTCCTCGCCTAGCTCTTTGGTGGCCTCAGGTGGCAGCGTCTTGCCCTGGGGCGGCGCCTGGACACTGGTGTTCCAGGCTGGGGCCGCCTGAGGTCGGCTAACCCAGGGTAAGGATCGGAGCAAGAGAGCGCCCTTGGAGCGCGGTGCCTGGAGCGGTCGCGGGGTCCCCAGGGGCTACGGGGCACCCCAGCCCTGGGGATCTGGGCGGCGCCACCAGAGCGCCCACCTGCAGAGACCTCGCGATCGCTCCCGCCGACTTTCCCGGAGCACACGGACCCCCGGTGCCACCTGGGCATTCGTGTCCTTCATCCTCGATCACAGTCGAGCTGGGGAACCGCTGACACCCGCTGCCGCTCCGAGGCTCGTCCTCGCGGCGGCTCCCCACGGGCATGTTTCAGGGGGGTAGGACCAGCATCCCCAAGCCCGCGCCCCGCAACCTGGAGGACCTGGACTCGGTGCAGCGCGTCTTGCTACACAGGTCAGTGCGGGCTCCCGGGATGCGGCCGGTCTGGGCACAGAGGCAGGGTTCGGCTAGGTGCAGGGCTCCCCTCCCGGAGTCGGTGCTAGGTCCCTAGGGTCGCTGAGACTCCAGCCCCGCGCCAATCCGCTCCGTGAGGCTCCACTTTATAAAGAAGGGGAAGGACCACGTGAAGCAAAAGCTGCCTCTCAAGGCGCTCTGCACTTTCTGCAGGAGGTTTGGGGGAAGCCGAGAGCTTTGCCTGGACTTTGTGAGTGAAATTAGAAAGAATTTCTGTTTTAACAAATCTAACTTCACCCCACCCCCCTACACGCTGCGGAACTGCACAATGTAGGAGTTCTCCTAAGGAAGAGAACCCCAACTTTCCATCAGCTTATCCAACCCGATTTTTGATGCGAAACAGACGAACAAAGATTAAAACCCACGCTGAAGGCGATGAGTTTATTGGTGAAAAAGGAATCCACGCCGAGAACAAACTTGAATGCATGGCAGTTAACGTTGCTAACTCGAAAGGCCTGGCCTTATTGAGATATGATGGGAGGGGGAATCGCTTAGAAATAAATGAAGGGTTTCTCTTGAATACCTCTGTGGTGAGGACGAGTAAGCCAGCTTAGTAAATATCTGCCAGGGAGGTTTACGTGAGTTCTCTCATCTGTAAACGTTTCGAGTGGCCCTTTTAAGTCTTTATACAAAACCGTATGAGCTATAGAAAGTGTGAGGGAGGGGGCAGCGTTATGCAAGTTTTCTTTTCTTTCTTTCTTTTTTTTTTTTGTTTTTTGTTTTTCGAGACAGGGTTTCTCTGTGTAGCTTTGGTGCCTGTCCTAGAGCTCGCCCTGTAGACCAGCTGGCCTTGAACTCACAGAGATCCGCCTGGCTCTGCCTCCCGAGTGCTGGGATTAAAGGCTTGCGCCACCACCGCCCGGCTGCAAGGGGTTTTAAAATAGGATTTCTTCGACTCGAGAGCTGTCTTCTGAAACTTGAAGTTTTCTGCACCCCACTCTCCACCCCGCTCGACAGCTGTTGCCATGTAAAATGAAATATTGTCAAAGGAGGAGCTAAATTCCCAAGGACGATTCCCGCTTGCATTTGATAAAGTTACAATTCAGGAGTGTTCACTGTAAAGTTACTCACAGCATGATTTTGGCCTAGCTGGGAGGAAATTTGTTTTAAACACCCAAGACTCCATTGCAACAGAATTTCTTATTTTTCTTGTTTGAAATATCAAGTAGAAAGAAAAAAATCCAAACTGATTAACACTACAGAGCCTCAAATTCAAAACACAAGCCTGCCTGAATGAAGCAGGGCAAAAGAAAAGGTTTAAACTCTAGTCCTCAGCCTGAGGTGATCATTTCAGAATGAGTATTTCCGGAATACACCTGCTCAGCATTAGAATGAAAAGCCACTTCATCTGAATTACATAATAACTGCTACCATCTGCAAAGGCAGCCGGAGGAATCTGAACTCAGTTTGTCAGTACTATGGCTAACAGGGATTTCTTTTTAACAATATGAAAATCTTTTCATCTTTGCATTGCATTGATTTTTGCGCGTTCTATTATTTTGTGTTTTATTGTCATTTTGTGTTTTCAAAACATCTGTTTAAAAATTTGTGACATAACAAAGTTTCTCTCTCACTTGATGAGGATATATTTTCACACACATTCATACTTTTCAAATACTTTTTGCTTGCATATATAAAGCTTTGTATGGATATAATAGAAACACCCTTTAAATCATATTCATCCATTTATTGTCATTCGCATGAACCAGACCGGTGCATAATCTGTGTTTTAAAGTTGTTTTGGCAATATTTTTATGTTTTCCTTTTAGAAGCACCTGTTGCTTATATAGGCAACCCTATCTAAATCCAGTGGGTTGCACACACACTCAAAGACTTGCAAGTAGGAGGCTGAGAGTTAGAGAAGAAGGGTTTTAGCAGGGAGCAGGTGAGACAGGGTAATAGGGTGTGAAAGAGCCTAAAATTCACTATATGCAGATGAAACTGTCAGAGAATAAAAAGAAATAGATACCTTGTAAGTCATCCACAAAATTTTGACAAATGCTTTAAAGAGACCAGGGCCACAGGAAATTCATACTGAAGAAAATACTAGGCTATTTCATTTTATTTTCATGTTTAAATTTAAAAGCTAGGTCTTCCGGTTGTTGGTTTGTTAATTACTTGTGTATTTTCCATTGCAAATACGGTTTTCAAAACCTACAGCACTGAATTGCTTAACTGCTGAGAAGGATACTAGAACCAAACATGCCAGTACTCAAGTGACAGTCGCTCACCAGTGAGCAAAGAATTCAGCTAGTCTTCTTTGGAGACGAAAGTCAGATTATCTGAGCCTAAAGAAAGGCTCCCATATTTCATTTCTCAGTTATTTTTACTTAAGCAAGTTAATGTTTTGGAGTCATTTGATTATTTGAAATACTCTGTAGTATTTTCTTTCTTTCTTTTTTTTTTTTTTTTTTTTGGTTTTTCGAGACAGGGTTTCTCTGTGTAGCTTTGCGCCTTTCCTGGGACTCACTTGGTAGCCCAGGCTGGCCTCGAACTCACAGAGATCCGCCTGGCTCTGCCTCCCGAGTGCTGGGATTAAAGGCGTGCGCCACCACCGCCCGGCTCTTTTTGGTTTTTTTGAGACAGGGTTTCTTTGCGTTGTTTTGGTGCCTGTCCTGGAACTCGCTCTGTAGCCCAGGCTGGCCTCAAACTCACAGAGATCCGCCTGACTCTACCTCCAGGATTTAATGCTGGGATTAAAGGCATGTGCCACCGCCGCCCGGCTCATTCGTATTTTCCAAATACTTTTAAATTAAATTTACAAATACTTTTAAACAACTTATGCACATGGCTAGTGAATTCAGTCCTCTCAGAGTGGCATTTCTGTTGCAGAGTCCTGTAACTTGGTGAGATGGTAACTCGTTTTTCTGTAACTTGGAGAGACCCACCTCATAGGGTGACACTGTGAACTTCTGTCCATGTGGCAGTGCTCTGTGAACATAAAGTCCTATGAAGTATAAGGGGTGGTGTTAGTAACTGTTGTCTGGGCTCTAAAACAAAACACAGGTGAAAAGCTATTCTTAGAGACTCCCAGACGTTCAGCAGGGTCAGTTTGTCAGAGATCTGGTGGCTAATGATGACACTGGGCTAGAACAGTGGTTTGTGGACACCTAAGCCATCAGACACGTGAAAATACTGGATGTTCTGAAGTTCATACTTTTACCAACAGCGAAAATGTGTGTATTCAAAATGTATCAAGTATCCAGGCCTTTCTGAGGTAAATGTATGCCCTGTTGACTAGAGTCCTGTTACCAAGATAGTTTTTAAACTTGGAAGTAAAAACTAAAATAAGTAATAATAAAAGCAAAAGCTTAGGAAAATACAATGTACAATAAATACTGCGTTATTTTTTCAACAGTAAGGCGTTATTAGATTTAAGGGTTATCACATTTGAATTTTAACAACACCATGTGGTGGGTAAATTATTAATGCTGTCTTCAGGCAAGAAAACTGACTTTGCCCACCTTCAATTTGTTCTTAGTTCTAGACTCAAAGGAGAGCGTGGCCGCTTCTGCATTATCCAGCACGTGACTGCCACTGCGGGTGACTGCACGGCTCACAACACCGCAGGTTTTTAAAGGGCACCAGAAATGCTTTCAGGACTCACATAGGCAGTTGTTTTCTCCCGACCCTTGTGTCTGCTCTTCTTTCCTCCTTGTCTCTTCACCAGGAGGTTGTAGACCATCAGCAACTCCCCCAGCTGGGCATTCCTGCTTCAGGGGCCTCTTTGCTTCTGGTTGGCAAATTCTGGTCTCTGGCGGCACAACAGTTCAGCAAATGAGTCACAGTTTGTAAGTAGAGCTAGAGGATGAAGATAAGGAAGGACGCATGAACTGGGCTTGGGGCTCGAGTGGTGTGTCATCTGCTGCAGTTATTGGGTGACTGACTGAGAAGGAACTGAATCCTGTTGTTTGGTTTCTGCCGAAGTGGGGATGGAAGCCACCATTTTAAGCCTGTTAAAGAAGCACGTTACCCCTGACCTGCCCCAGCCTGGGTCTGCTTCTGGAGCCTCCTCTACGTTCTGTTCTCATTTAAATGATCTTGTAACAATTAAGTCCTGTACATATGAACAAAGGATTCCATTTTCATATGAGAAAATTGAGATTTCAGACTGTAACTTCATTACATAAATTTAGCATTGCAGAGTGTCTTTTATATATTGTGATTCTATCTTGGAATATTTTGGAAAACTCCACATTAGAAAGTCACGGTATTTTAAATGGTATTATTGGTCTACCATCATTTTAAAAAATGATTACTTTAAAATAATTTTTTAAAACTATTATTGCTCATTTTATAAAGTGTTATTCCTGTGTTCACACTTAGGGCACTATTGATTAGTTCCTGACAAAGCTGCATTACATCAATTTTTGCCCCGGGGTTTCAATGAACATCATCTCCCATGACCCTGTTTTCATTTATCTCTCATCGCTAGCTACTCCTGCTACCAAATAGAGAGCCCTTGAGCCTGCTAACGATAGTAAATATTTAATTATGTTCTTATCTGGGGTATTTTATGTCTGAATTGTATTGTTTGCCTAATTGAGATGGTAATCTATGGAAATTTTGACCTTGTGTCTCCTACATATGAAACTAAACATTTTTGGGCTTCAATTTTTATACAGTCAAAAATAAAAAATGAGAATATACCCCAGTCTAAATCTTTAAGATTTTCTTGAGATTTCCAATTATTAAGTCCTTGAACTAACAGGGTATTTTCAGAAGACCCTGATGTTATTTTCTTTTTCTTTCTCCATCCTTTCCCAACACAATTAAGATATTAAAAATTAATAAAGTTGGAGATACAATTTGCTAATACCACACCCACCCAAATTAAATTAAGAATAAAAATAGTTGTTGTTGTATTGTATGTGGGTCTGTATGAAAGATCAAGTAAGGTAGTTACACACAAATTCTCTCTCTCCTATTAAACTAACAGA